AGCCGATTGTAATTAACGCACGGATACAGGTTTACATCCTTAATTCATTATAAATTATCTAAACTCTCTGAACACCGCAAATTAGCAGCTCAGAGCTTAGGTTACGACAAATTCGGTGCCCGTGTGCGGACGTAGAACACATAAGAATACACAAATAAAGACACATATTTTCACATAAATCATGATGTCAAAAAACAAACACTTCATGCGAATAACCATAATCAATAGCATTATATAACATATATGTTTATATATATGTGTATATATGCTTTCTTATTTAGGCAACGTATTTTCAGGTTTATACCTCTTAGAATTTTAAAAAAATTCCCCAGTGGAGTCGCGAGCCTGTGGTACCCATTTTCTGACTAATTAAAACTAGAAGTCAAAATCCCACGTAAGTCGATAATTTGACTAAAAAAAAAAATAAAAATTAGAGTCGCCACTCTATTTTTGCCCGAATAGAGACGGTCTTTTGTTTATGATCGTTTTCAAATAGAAAACGACATTGACTCCATTAGATGAGGCACTATATAAGTATAGTCTTAGGAAAATCAAAAATCTAGGTACGGGGTATAAGTTAGGAAGATCGAACGTTTAGAACTCGTCTCTTCCTTTGTTCTAACGAACAGGCTCTTACTAATACGTTGTTAATTGGTTATGATTATTCACATACTTTTCCTTAAACTAATGCATAAAAACATGAAGATTTCCACATTGTCAATCACACTCAAATGTAAAATAAAAGTGAATTAAACCTTACGATATATGGTGGGTTTGAGCATTAAAGTTGCACTACGTACCATTCATTGTGGGATTTGAATCCACTACCGGATCAAAACCCTACGTAGTTCTTACGAACGTCCATTTATACATGGTCAAAATTTCATACGAGATTTCAAGAAAGTTTATATTATTTATTTTAGGAGAGGTGGTCGATCCATATAGGGTCATTTGAATGAGGTTGAGCAATCTTGCTTTTAAGGTGGAGGTCAATTTATCAAGGTTGAGGAAGTCACTAGAATCAGCGACACCATAGGAGTTTCTTTGAGGAGAATGATTTTGTTTGTAAAATGCGTTTCAATTAACGACTTTATTTAGGGTTGAACAACTTCCAGAAAGAGATTGTGTGGGCTTATTTGAGTGTGCTAAAAAAGGAATTTTATTTGGTATGAATTTGAGAAGAATATGAAGGAAATGTGTTTAGATTGTATGAAATTGACTTACGCAGAATGGACATTCTATATGGCTTAAATCTAAATGATAGGTAGTATATGTGAAAACCTTAATCATGTTAGATTAAGTAAGCGATCTATCAGAGATAATAAAACTTTAAAAGCATAATTCTCTGCGGCAAATAGATCATCTTATAACCTATCATGATTGAATATTCAACTTTACCCTCTTATTTAAATATAAGCCATAAACCATAACTCGAAAGATTTATTTTATTAATGAAATGATACAAGCATGCAAGGCCAGATTTTGCTTAATTAAAAGTTAGTTGTCTCTTTATTAAGAAATGCATAAGGAAATTTTGCTCTTCCGAACGATGATGGAATTAAAACTTAAACAAGATTTATTTAAAAATTATAAGACATTCTATTCCAAACTAAATGAATTATTTATAATGCTCCTTTCATATAGCCATAGAATGAAGAAGACTTTTTTTTTTTTAAATAAAAAAAGTGCTAGTCTTAAAGTGATACAAATGTGTCTCTTTTTTGGATTAATATCAACTTGAGGCATGAGTAATTTATAACTTCCTCAAATGACTAAAAAAAAAAACCAGAGGTATACATGATAGGGTGACACAAATTATATAATAATGTTCATTCCATTTTTCCTTAAAAAGCTTAAGGGTTTAAAGTGTCTCTAATATTTCGGACACCATAACTCATGTTCTAACAGTCGGATTTGACCAATATCTAGCTGTTGAAATGAAAGATAATGATTTTTCTTTAAAAAACACTCCGGTTTGGGACGTTCATGGGGAATTGGGTGATAATGGTCAAAGTATTTCGAAATTGGCATGATCCTTTTAATGGTATGTTAAGGACAAGCGTATAAATTCTCTGTAGAAAATTCCCCCTTTTTAGAAGTCATTTGATATGCCAAATAAAAAGAGTATGCTTGGTTGGGGAAAACAGCCTCAAATCAGTTTATCATTTTGATACCTTGTTTTGTAAAAATCATAAAAAATAGAGTATTTACCCTATGGGAACGTGTGACCCCAAACTACAAAGCTTAAGGGATCTTATTTTTAGATATTCAATTAAAATTTTATTATTAAAAAAAGATATAGTTCGAAAATTGGCAAATAGATAAACCTGTAGTAAGAAATTTGTGGTGTTACTATGTCTTCATGTCTGATTTTTTGTGAGTTGTTTAAAATTTATTTTTATAAAATTCCAAGTCTCATACACTCCTAAATACATAAGCTTACTGTAAAAAATTTACTTTTTAATTTTATGATGAAAAACGATTTTTTACATAATAAAAAAAAAGTAGTCGAAAATGCTATCTTGCTAGAATTCCATCATTCATTCTTTGGAGCTTCCTTATGCATTTTGTACAATTATCATTGCTTCCATTTCATACTCTATATAAGGATGATACATACAAGAAAAAAATCAAACAAACCATATATACTCACTTTCAAACTCGCTTGCGGTCGTTCAAATTCTACTTGGTTTCCAAATTAGGAAACCGACACGTATAGTGCCCTAGGAGGTTATGGAACACACAAAAGTAGAAAAGTTAGTAAAAGTATGTAAAAAATAATATGAAATCACAAATGAAATGAAAGAAGATATTACCTTTGGCTTTGAGTAGCTATCTTGAGGAATTAGTCAAGGTAGTGTCAAAATGATCGATTTAATTTTTTTTTTAGGCCAAGTCCTTCTACAATTTTTTTTATATTCTTTTTTTTTTTTACTGAAAATAAAAATTTTGATTACCTTTTTTTTTTTTTTTGTTTTTATCTAATTATAGTGCTGAAATAATTTAAACTTCTTTTATGAGTTTTTTTTTAGCTCCTTTCTTAACTATTCTCTTCGATATTTTTCCCCCCCTTTCGTGAAGAGTGGGGTGGTATATATATGGGAGCAAATGGGAGCTAAAATATAAAATACAGAGAATATACTTTTATACGAAATAAATATGTACGAATACAAGAGTTAGGTAGAAATTATAACCAAAAATCGTCTTAATGAGGTAGAGGACAAATAGAATAGCCTACTACTTTATGTAAAACTTAATTACTATTGACTGAACAAAATACAATATTATTAATGACTAAAAATAATTAAAAGTACTAATATAATTTGAATACAATGGTTAATTGGTACTACTTTCCTTTGAAGAGTGTACTTACTCTTCGTATATTAAACTTACCATAGCAAAATACGACTATTACACCACCTACTTATCAGAAAATAACAAGAAAAAAAAGTTGTTTGCCATTGATTGTGGATAGTCATATCACCTAATCGTTTGGGAAGAAACACAGCTCAGTGATACAACGTATTGTCATGTCACACCATTTTCTGATTCTCGTTGTTAAATTACAACCATGGCTTACCATTTTCTTTTTCTGTAGAGATTTGACATATCAAATGAGTGGTAATGGCAGGGGTATCTTTGCTTGGAGCCACTCTTTTACTGTCAAATATTGTCGTCATTGCAATAACCCGGAAGAGAAATAGCATGCATACTTACACTTGTTATTTCTGAGTGTGTGAAACAGAGAAAAGATGACTCATGAAGGTAAGTGGTAATGGTGTTTTGGTGGGAAGTTGAATAGGAAGGAAGAAGATGAAATATAAGGTAGTAGCATTACGTTATTAACAAAGTGAAATCTAACAAAAATGCATTTTATGAGTGAAAAAAAAAAATTAAATTACACCATAAAAAAATAAAAATGATAAGTTGGGGAGGGGGGGAAACCGTGACTTTGTTAGCATTGGTAATAGCTTAGTGTAATGCATGCATGCTTTGCATTCTTTTACATAAACAAAATATGCTAATTTGTCCTTTATGATTTGTATTTTTCCTTTTTTTTTTTAAATAATAAAATTATAAAGGAACAAAAGCCATGAATATGTCAATGGGTTAGGCATATCGTGAAACAAAATCCAACAACAATGTAACAATTATTTACATAACATATGATGAACCCACTTATAATATAAAAATAGTAGAATAATTATAATAACAATAGGATAAAAAAGAATCAGTAGTACTAAAAATTTATTAGGGGTTAGAAAGTAATACTTTAGAAATGGTCACGGTTTTAAAAATGTACAGACTAAAGGGTCAAAATTTGATACTATTGACCAGGATATGTCAAACGACATGATTATTATATATGTCACTGGTAACAACATTGTTTTTATTTTATGTTATTTTTAAAAGATACACTTACTACTATTATTAGACTAAACGATTATACAATTGGGATACGACAAAAATACGGATAAGATTTATCCCTTATAAAAGGGAGATTTCCCTTATCCGAAATCACCCTTTACTCAAAAAACACACCCCTTGCCTATTCCTCTTCGGTTTCCATGGCTCCCGGCAACCAAAATCGACAAGCTCCATCTCCGTTCGACGAGAATTTTCGAGTGCTAAATTTATATTTAGCTTTGATCATGGCGTTAGTGGTGCTACTAATGGCGTTAATGATTTTCATAATCATGAATAAATGACGACTTGAAGTTCCCGGTACGGAGTGTACAAGGTTCGAGTTATGCTTCGAATTAATCTCGTATTTTGTTCGTAAATTAGGAGTACATTTGTAAGAGTTTTGTATACTCCAAAATTATAAATAAACACTACTTGAATTTGTCTCTTATGTCTAATTATTGCGGTTGTCGTTAGCAAAATCAGATCTTATTATTATAATTATGAAGTAACACAAAATTTATTAGTGAATTGAAAGTAAAAAAAAAATATGGAAAATAGGGGATCAAAATTTGGTGTCTACAGGTTTTAATAACATGTCATCCGAGGAAACCTCCAACTCTTCTAATTCTTCATCCAGTTCAGAAAATAGCCAAACACAACGATATGAAAGACGAAGGCAAGCCAATCGTCTTGTTAATCGAATGATGGATGAAGTTTTTATGTCCAATCCAATTGAAGTATATCAAATGTTAAATCAAGTTCCAAGGGCACCAAGGATCCCCATTCCAAGGGATCATGAGGATGGACACAATCGTTTTTGGAATGACTACTTTGCTGACCATCCTGTGTTTCCCCCACAGTTATTTCGTCGAAGATTTCGCATGAACAAACATATATTTCTCCGAATAAAGAAAACTTTAGAAGAACTTCATCCCTTCTTTCAACAAAGACAAGATGCTACAGGAAGATTTGGTGCCTCCGGATTACAAAAATGCACAACTGCTATGAGGCTAATAGCTTATGGCACCTCTGCTGATTCTGTAAATGGATACATTCGAATTAGTGCATCTCTTGCAAGAGATTCACTACAACATTTTGTGGAAGGAAGTATCTCTTACTTTATTGATGAATACCTTAGAAATCCCAATGAAGAAGATCTGGTAAGACACTAAGAATTGGTGAATGTCGAGGATTTCTAGGCATGCTAGGTTCTATTGATTGCATGCATTGGCGGTGGAAAAATTGTCCACTTCGATTAAAAGGTATGTTTTTTGGAAGACCAGGTAAGCCCACATTAATATTGGAAGCTGTGGCATCATATGATCCTTGGATCTGACATGCTTTTTTTGGGACACCAGGTAGTCGTAATGATATTAACGTTCTTGATAGATCCCCTTTGTTTAACGATGTTTTTGAAGGTCGTGCACCTTCTATTAACTATGTTGTGAATGACCATCAATATAATATGGGGTATTATCTCATTGATGGTATATATCCTAAATGGGTAGCATTTATTCCTACAATATCACTACCACAAAATGAAAAAGAAGGTCTTTTTGCCAAATTATAAGAAGCTAGACGAAAGGATGTTGAGCGTGCTTTTGGAGTATTACAAGCTCGTTTTGCAATAATACGGAATCCTGCGCTAGCTCGTGACGCATCAATGTTAGGAAAAATAATGATAGCATGTATCATTATGCACAATATGATCGTTGAGGACGAAAGAGATACGTATAAATCGTATTACGATTCAAATGAATATGATCAAGCTACAAACGCGTCTTCAAGTAATAAAAACACTAAAGAGCCTTTTCAGTTCGAAAATAGCAACAACCGAATTGCAAGTTTGGAAATTTATATGTCTAATAGAGTTCGTGTTCATGATAAAGTTATGCATAAAGCCTTGAAGAAAGACTTAGTTGAGCATATGTGGCTCAAATTCGGTGTTAACAGTAGGCAAAATGATTTGCATTAATAGTTGTATAATTGTAACATTAAATTATTGTATTTGTACTCAAGCATGGTTCGTTTTCATCTTTTAAAGATTGTTGTCATTTGATAGAATATGTATTATTTTTATTATTATTGAATTTAGTAAAGTTGCAATTATTGTGTATTTTTTAATTATTATGTATTTCTTAATTAACGACTAATTACTTACTAATTAAATAATATAATGCATCAATTTTAAACATAAGTCATTTTATTTAATTAATGTATGCTAATAACAATTATTAGTTTTAATTGATTATTACCAAGTGCATTAGTTATATATGATAGGATTTAATAGAGATATTGTGTGGTGGGGTTGGATAAAAGTAGGAGAGAGAAAATGTATAACAAAAAAAATGTGGTTAACTATTGGGAGACATTGGTTATTAAATGAGTATAAGAGTGGTTATAAGTGAGGTGGAAGATGTAGTAATTAATAAAATAAGCAATAACCACAATGGTTGTGGGCAACCATTGTGTTTGCTCTAAGGTCATGGTCATGGACATGACCTGACAATGCTTTTCTGTCTCTTAAAATAATATATTTATTTTTATTTTTTTAATATTCTTTTACAATCTCTCCCCTCATGCCCAGTCTTTTTGGGCAACGGATGACAATGCTTAAGGCAATTGATGACTTTGCTCTTACCTTTGAATATTTTTTTCCCGTTTGTTTATAAGGAGAGGACTTCCTAAGAATTATCAAATTAGTTGTGTGGTTGAGGTTTAGATTGGTTATGAACGGGTCAAATCATGTCAAAAGATAATATTAGGTCAATATTTTCATTATTTTAATCAATTTAGATCGATAAATACATGAATTCAAGAGCAACCAAGTCGCTTATCATTTTGGGTAGGAGTTGATTCGATTCTAGTCATGTTTGGTCAAGTCAATTTGGGGTTGAGTTGAGTTGGTTTGAGATTGGCAATAAGGTAAATTTTGAGTTTTGATCTTGTTGCATCTTCATAAAATTAGTTTATGGATTTCTTTTTGATGGGTAGAATAAAATATTTATATTGAAACATTCGGTTGTAAAGTTTTTACTTTTCATTACTAGTAGGTAGTTTTGTTTTATTGTAGAGTTCCCACCAAAGCGTATGATCTTCATATTTATGTATGTCTTCAAAATTACTAGCAAAAATCCATCAACAATGTATATTGAGTTAAATATTAACATGCACAACTAGAACGCATAGGGACCCAAAAATATTTAAGGGCAATTGATTTACTTCCCTTCCCTTTACTCTCACTCTATCTCTCTCAAGTCTCGACTTCTTTCTCTCTCTGTGATGAAACCACCATTCACTTCCTTTTCGCCACCACTACAACTTTCTTAGAAAGTCATCTCATCCAACACCTCCTCTCTTTACCTAGTTTTCTCCCTCTGTGTCAAAGGAGTGATGAAAATTTGGGACAAAAAAAAAAAAAAAAAAAAAAAAAAAAAAAACTAATATGTGAAATATTTTAGCAAATTGCATAAAAGTTGAATCATTAGAATCAATTTTTCTATATGAAGAGAATATATGAAATGAACATTAAGTTTTAATAAATGGTAAATGAGCAACATATCTTTATATTAGAAGTTAAAATGTACTCGTTATTCATTTTGATCTACCAACTTGCTTACTTGTCAAATGGTTATTTGAGTAAGCTTAAAGGTGAGATTGATTTAAGGTGTTCAAAAGGTAAAATTATTCATGTTGATTATCCAGTTAGTTTTCCTTGTGCCACACAGCATATCTATGACCAGATGTTGCCAGTATCCACTCTTTGCCTTCTGGAGACCATGAACCGTCTCCAATCTTCATGCTTATCTTATCCCCTATGATGGCAGAGTAGAGATTTGGTTGAGCTTCAAGTATCCTAATAGAAGACCTACTATGTATATCTTGTTGCTTTCGAATGTTGATCTGTACAAGCAGATTCATAATGTTACACGTGAATAAATAATTTCCCCAAATACAATGTTCAAACCGGCTGAAAAGTAGCATCATACCAGCTTCACAATTTGGTCATGGTATGAGGTGTCCCAGTCATAGAAATGGTCATAGAACACAGACGGTATCCCCGGATGTGTGAGGATATATACATAGCCCTGTAGCAAATTACAAGGTGTTAAAAAAACTACATAAATTCCGTAATGAATTTTCTCAGAATATTGAAATGGCAGTCCTCAACGAAGTATCTTAATCAGAATCAGTAGTTGAATAGCACCATGGTGAACAAATGTAGGCAAGACAAGATGAAAATGAAACGCATAGCAAAGTTCTGTTTTGGTTTAAGATAATTAACATGCATAAATTTCATGCATCAACACAAGGCATACTATTAAATCCATTATGCCCTTTGCTTGAGCCAAAATTTTGAAGAGGTGAATGTTCAAATGGGCAGCCCAAATTATGATACAAGGGGAAAAAATCAGACCAGACTCTATGGCAAATTGGCAATCCAAAAAGTATTAGCTGCATTTGCTGGACTAGATAAAGAAAATAAGATGGATACCTCCATAATGTGATCTTCTGGGAAGGGCCAGTGAGCCTGCAGCAGGAAATTGTGAATGCAAGTAAGGGGAAAAACAAAATAGTTTAACAGAGTAAGATTTTCTTTTTGATAACCAAAATAGTCTAATACTCTATGGAAATATAGTATTAAACTATTATCTGATTTCTACAAATGAGTAAATATTTTGTACTTCATTAACAGAAGCTTTATCAGAAAGCAAGAGAAAAACATAATGAATAGGTTTTGGTCATAAAGGCACCAGCAAGTTGATATATACGGGTAAGAGAGGTCAGCTGAACTCCAATACTTAAATTTATGTTTTAAAGGACTCTGACCCGAAAATTCCTAGTATGCTCCTCTGAAAAGAAATTGCTGAAAGTATGCACAAATTGCCTGTTATGGACCCAATTGAGGGTACGGATCAACCCATCAAAGTGTATACACGGAGGCCCAAGCCAAGAGGAAGAAGCAACAGTCAACAGGAGGAAACAATCCACACTAACGGTCAGCAAGGAGGGTCAATGAAAGGGACACCAGGATGAGTCAAACACAACAAAGGGCAAGAGACAAAACTTATTAAGAAGGCATTAAGGAAAGCAAGCAACTAAGGGGCCGTTTGGTTCGCACGGGATAATCGGAATGGAATGAACAAAGGGAAAGAGAAGGAATGAAATGAAAATACCTAAAATTTGGGGTGTTGTTAGTTTTAAAAACAAAGGGAATGAGACCCAACAGTCCCACCACCACACCACCACCACACAACCACCAGTAACATTCATTCTCCAACGTTCCCACCACCAAACCAGTCGCCGCACCTCCCTCACCCTTCGCCTCCCTTCTCCGGCCATCCCCGCCCCTCGCAAAACCTTCCACAGCCCCGAAAAAACCCTAGATCGACGAGGGGTTTAGGAAGTGGCGAAGGAATGTTTTTGCGGGGAAGGGGACAAGCGGTGAGGGTCGGGGAAGGGTCGGCAAGGGTCGGCGAGGGTGGTGGGAGGGCTGGACGGCGGTTTTACGGGGATAGGGAGGGGTTTTGCGTGGGCTGTGGGATGTTTTGCAGGGGAGGGGAAGGCGGCGAGGGTCGGGGGAGGGGCGGCGGTAGTCGGGGGAGGGGCGGCGGTGGTCGGGTGGGCTGGTTTCCGGTGGTGTTGGTAGGTGTGAAGGTGGTGATGTGGTGGTGTGAAGGTGGGTAGGGAATGGGAATGGAAATACCTAGGGGGGGTGGGGAATGAAGTTAGAGGGATTTGGGGGAATGAAAGAAAGTACTTAACAAACAACAACAAAGGGAATCGGGGTGATTGATTCTCATTCCCTTTCCTGAATACCCCCAACCAAACGGCCCCTAAGTGTCAACCTTGTCTTAATTGGTTTTGCTATTTTGGTTAATGGTCACATGTGTTCATTTTAAGTCATTGTTGTCTTAGATAGATTGAGTATAAGTAGGAGGTGAATGTATTAGTGAAGGCATCGAGAAATTGAGTTAGAACCCCTTGAGAGTAGTAGCCTAAAGCTACCATGAGATTGATAGACTCAAGCTATTAATTATTCTTGTAACCTTGTCAACTTTCCACTTAATTAATCAATCAAAGTACTCAAGCTTTCCCTTAATTGTGTTTAATTAGTGTCATTTCAATTACAAGAAACTGGTACATCACATTGCCTAGTAGCAGGACCAGATATATAAAGGGAGCACAGGTTTATTCATACATAATTTATTAAGTTCCTAGAATACAAGACACATATATTCAACCTCTTTACTAAGGCTTAGTCCAATTTGTAATCTTCACTCTATCGCCCCCCCCCCCAACCCTCTCTCCCATAATTAGCTTCCCACTGGCGAAACTACTTAAAAGTCAAAGTTGCAACTATCTTTGTTTCCAAAAGGAAATACTGTTCACAATATATGCTTATGTGTACTCTTAGTTCCCAGCACAAACAGAGTATTCTAAATGGAAAAGAAAATCAAGCAAAAACTACTCGAGTTAGATAGACTATAAATTCAACTTAAGTAAACATTGATGATATATGTTCAAATAAAAAATTCTTCATAATCGTATGAATCTTATTTTCTGGCATGTCCTTCACAAATTATTCTATCAATGGTCCTACTTCAAGTAAGCAACAAGCATGACTTACTTTTCAGACTTGCATAAACATTTGACTTATTGTTACATCACTATCAGTGGAGTACCTGCGTTGAGCCAGTGTCATGGTTATCAAGAAATGTAACAGCTCTTGAAGGCCACAAACCCAATACACCAGGTGGCTTCCCCTGGGAATCTCGAAGGCGAGAGTATTCTCCCTTAACAGCTTCCTATTATTCAAAATAAATAGGATTCAGCTTCCTTAATTGCGTCAAAGTACACAAAGGAATTTTTTTACACAAGGCAGAAATAAGGTGTAATGATCTAAATGTTGGTATGATTTTGTCAATTTACTATGATAGCAGGCAAGATAAATGACAAACTAGATTTTGATGTCTAGGTCTTCCCTCAGAAAGAGACATGCCTAGCTGTTCAGCATTAAGGAAATACAAAAACACGGAATACAAAAGACTTTGTCTACACCTGCAAAATTCCTTTTGTTGTGAAGTCAAACGCAGTGGCAAGTTGTCCTGTAGCATCAATCCAATTGATGATTCGTTGTCTATGACTGTCTGTAGAAATAAGAAAATGAAGATGCTGAAATAATCCTCAAGGAAATGTAGCATGAAGCTATTTTAGAATAATAGTGACTACTTGAAGATCTCTTGGGCAACATAAACTCTCAAAGGCACAAATTTGTACATGCCAAGTGACACTGCACTGAAATGAGAGAGATGCTCTCTCCCAAGAAACTAATAGTAAATTCATTCTGTAGTAATGTCACTAATTGTTGCTGGATTTGGCATACAAGAAACTCCAGCTAGGATTTTGCAAGGAATCAATATTAGGGGAAGGGTATGTTAGTCATAGCCTATTAGTAGTAGCTTGGGGAATAAGTTAGAGTTTGTTATGAGAGTTTTTCTATAAATAGGCCTCATTAGGAGGAATAATCATCATGTTGAATATTGTTGAGGTTATGTTATTGGGAGAGAGTGAGCCTCTCGAAAGCTCATATTAGGAGAGAATCCACCTCTCAAAAGTGGAATTATCCTTCTATTAGTGTAATTCACCTATTATCAATATAATCATCATTATTCTTCCCTAATTTCTGCCATATTTAGAGCTGTAATCTGGTCAGAAACCATGCTAATTCCTGCAGATTTCTAACTCAGAATCTGTTAAGCTTCCCACTCTTTCATCTTCATGCGTTATGTGTCTGATTTTTCTAAAATGCTGTCCTATGTGGGAAATCATCTAACATGCCTAGTTCTTGTCTCCTTAAGATTAATATGATGTGCATATTGACCATTAATATCAAAAAATGCTCAATACAGTACATCTGTGACATAAAATGGCAGAGGCCAACCAAACATGTCAACTTCTGTTATACTTCAATATCAATATCTACATGTCTTCCTAGAGCTGAAGATTATTCAAGCTTTATTCAATATAAAGTTATAAATTATAACATAATTAATGTTTTGGGAAATCAGCGCGTTTTGATTAATCAACACAACTCGTTAGTTCTTTTGTAAGGCATTCCAGTAGGCATAAGCAAGCAGTTAGAACTGTTTGCTGAATCTGGGAAGGACACTTTTCCCATCAAAAACTAGTTTGGCAGTGAGGCAAGTAGAGGTGACTATTTATACACATAGTATATGCATGTGTCTTCAATGTCTTTCTTATCGCTAGAAGGTTCAATTCCCAATACTTTGTACAAAGCTTCCATTAGGAAGACAACAATCAGGGTAACACTTCTTGCATTTTCCTGTCTTCAGAATTCCTATTTGTAAGTCAAAACATTTATGTTTCGGCAATTGACTGGGTTCCTGAATTACCTGAATGAATTTTCACTGCTAATTGGTAGCTTCTGTCCTATAAGATGGTCCTTCCGACATGAGTTAAGGTTTTGTATCTTAAGACTCATATGTCTTCTCACTTGCAACTTCCACTTACTACAGCTACACACCAATTTTTTTTTCTTCTTCCATAGTTCCATATATTATTGTCGTGGAGTTATTTTTTTTTTCTTTCACTATTTTTCAATATAGTCCACAGAATCTTCCCAGCATTATAGATAAATAGCTTTTTTTATAACAAAAATCACATAACAATATAGTCACAGTAATATAGATAATTATGATGCTAGAGCTCTTCTAATAGTCCTGCAAATTAGAGTTTATTTATATAGAGATTCAACATATATGTACCTTGGTCGTAGGCCAAATGACCATTATGGTAATCACAAGAATCCCAGTATTCTCCAACACAGAACACTGGTTTTGCACCTTCAATGTACTCCTTCACATATTTTGCTGCATAACTAAGTAATCAGCCAACATTAGAAAATGTTTGCTAATTTTGTTGACAAAAAAAAAAAAAAAAAAAAAAAAAAAAAAAAAAAGTGACAGATAAATGTGTACAGTTCCAAGATGACTAGTTACCCTCTTGCAAAATCAAAGCGGAAATCTTGGAAGCCAACCTTGTTTCGCAGCCACCTCAGCCATTCTGTAATATCTTTTCTCACAAAGGGCTGTGTATGATCAATGTTTGGAACACCATCAAAATTGTCACCAGTACTTTGATTGCCCTGAAATTAGACATGTGAAATCAGTGCTTAATGTAACAGCATATCTGAATTCAACATCAAAAGAACTGTGGCATAGTTTAGACCAAAAATTTAACAGTATATTTGACTTTCTTTTCTTTCATTAAGAGTAAACCAGCCCAAGAGCTATATAAATTAGAACAATTTGGCAAAGATTGGTTCATCCTTTATGATATTCATTGATGCATGATTTGGAGAAACAATAGCCTAGGCCATGATCAATTCTTCTATCCACCATATAAGCAGGTCAGGTGAACCATAACTACACCATCGCTTATAGAATGAAAACTCTATCATTAGCAATTCATGTATTTTCAAACCGACCTCACTAGCAAGACACCTTCATTTAATTACAAAATCCAGTCAAATTTGATTAACTTTTCCTCAATTGTTTTTTATTAGCCTGGGACGCATACTGGAGGGTTGTCATGATTCTTACAAAGGGGAAAGCTTGTTGCTTGTAAAAGTAGTCTCTCTTATTTGAAAGTAGGATATTTCTTTTCTAATTCAATGATGAGGTCTAACTATGAAAGTTCTCTTAAATCTTAACCAAGCTGTAATAGAAACATGCACTACATAAAATGCAAATTTCCATCCAGCAAAACAACTGTTCTTAAAGTGTGCAGCACAAAGGAGTACGAGGTTTCATAGCAAATCTACAGGAGCAATTGACTTAAGGATAAATTACCAAACCACCAGTACATGATGTAACAGCATGTTCATCCCATGCTAATGAAATTCCATCATAGCGGTTGTACATCCCCCCATGGCCCTTGGTAGTCCCAACACGATGATTGATTACTATGTCAGCCATGGATCTGACTTTGTACTGCTCCATTTTCTGTAGCAAAGCTTTCAGTAGGTTCTCAGAACCATATGCAGAATTTAGCGAATAGAGATTCTGTGGAAGGTAACCTACAGATAGAAGAATAATTGCAGATGGATACACAAGCAATAAAAAAATTTACAGCATGGATACGTGGAATATTATATATTGATGGCCAGTTTCATATCCTCTCACCTTCAGGAGACAAAGATTGAGATGCAGGTGGCAACCATACAGATGTGAACCTAGATTTAGCTATATCAGGCATCTTTTCCTCTAAGTTCCTCCACCAGTCTAATTTGTGAGACTCCCAATTGAAAGCCTGTCAACCATATAATAAATCAACGACAACAAAAAGATTATTAACATCCATAAGCATCGAATGGGTAAAGGACAAATTACTTTAAAGGTTTTTGACATGGGAATTGGCCATTTGCTCTTATGAGTACTTTCTCTAGTCAAAGATAAGAACGGGTCACAGGAATTGACCACTTGCTCTTTTGAGTGCTTCCTCTAGTCATCAAAGTGAGAAATTTCCAAATGACTGACTTTCTTATATTTGAAGCTTAAAATTTGCATGAATTTAGCAAACCAATGTTGACAGTCAGATTTTCTTAACTAGAATAAACAAACGTAAAGGGGCTCTAGTCAGTTTTTGAGAAAATTTGTGATCACTTAAAGATATGTACAACTAGCTGCCTACCTTAAGTTTTATAATTGTGATCAAGGGAGTACAATGTAGAAATGGAAAGAAGCAGAAAACATCTTCCTCTTGTAAAATAGCAAGAGAGAATAGTGGAAGTACCTGAAGAAGAATTTCTCTTCCTTTTCTGATTGCTGCACCTGCAAAATGAACAAATGTGACGTAGTTCAGAACCAACACCATTTAACTTGGAAGAACGTAGGATGTTAGTCAACTCGTAACTATAGCAAGATGCATTGCAGTAACTATTCGTCACAAACTCACAATAACATCACTAGTGTTTCATTGCAGCTAGTTCATAAAGGAGTTTAATCTAGTATAAAAAAGCTAAATATGAAAACGACAACGGAGATTCCAATCAGCTTTGACAAGCAACTTTCTCTGCCAGAAAAAGTTCATTCTTCATGGATAATGAGATCAAGGGACTACGTTTGGTAATTACAATGTTAAATTGTGACTCGAAATCTAGTAGGGCTGACTTTGAATGCTTATATCTCTCAAACTACAACTGATTTTGAGGTGATTAAAGTTGGAGGTGATAGCTTGGTTCAAGAGCTTTCCAACGACAGGTCATATGCCCAATTCCGATAAGAAACGAGAAACCTATGACCGTTTTACAAAAATCTGACGAAGTTGGAAATTTGCAACGAGGCTGCGAGCTATAGCTCTATGCGAGTGAGCTATAACTCGGCCCTATGAGGACTTGCGGCAGGCATGAGCTAGCTGCCGAGCTATAGCTCGGTAGTTAGGTTATTCTAAGATAATTTATGGAATATTTCCTAAAATTATATCTTTTCTATGACGGCTATTTGAGTATACTTGGGGAACAATGTTAGGGTTTTATTAGGGTTTCCTTGTGCTATAAAAGGACCCTTTAGTTGATCAATTAGATCATACCTTTTGAGCCATTAGATTTAGGACTCCTTGCATTATTCTCTTGTTTCTTTCTCCATTATAGTGAAGAAGCTCTCGAATCCCCCACCCGTGGATGTAGGTCTATTTTGACCGAACCACGTAAATCCTTGTGTTCTTTGTTTATCTTCTTTATTGCTTTTCTCGTTCTTAATTTCATTGGCTTGTTCTGCGTTAATCAAACACAATTACACCCTAATTTCCTAACATACAATGATATATTGCTCATAAAAGGATGGATACATCCACATTTCTAAGTGTAGTAGATGAAACTTCTAGGAAGGACCTCATACAAATAACTCTGTGGACATCGAAATTTTATCAATTTATAGTTGTCAAATTTATGTGGTCAAATTTATGTAATAAGGAGATAATGTTACAAAAAAAAAAAAAAAATGGAACAAAAGTGATAATATCTTCAAGATCTCAGAAAAAATATGATAAACATATAATTCTCTAACTTAGGACTCCCTACATAAACAGGGTTGTTTCTAGGGTTTAAGAGGCTGAGATGGAATAAGTCACAATAACCCATCTCCTCCCTAATATCAAACATTGTAGATATAATCGGAATAAGTAGATAAGACCCCAATAAATCAAGCCCTTGAAGAGAGGAATCAAGATATCAATAAGAGTTGTAACCCAAAAATCATCAATAAAAATACTGTTTCCGTTATTTTCTTGCCTCTTTATTTGTACATTGCAGGTTTGAATCTTTATTTGTACAATCACAACAGAAGAAGCCTGATTCCATTTTGGAGTCTATACTAAAAAGAATTGAAAACGGAAGTCCGTCTAAGGGTGATGGTATCTAGTTCTGGTGCTTAGCAAGTGGAGTTGTACAGCCAGGAAAAGGCAAATTTCATAGTGTCATATCAAACAGTATTGTTTTTACACTGTCCTGGAGAAATATTACATTCTAACTCGAGCAATGTAACCATCACTACTCGTCTACTCGCAGCATGCAAGTGATTTTACAACTGGAAACAAAAATTAATAATAATAAAGACAATCATTGTTCATACCAATATTAATCTGCTCAGTATTTTCATCAGAGTCCTGCATATTACCAATATCAGTCTGCTCAATATTTTCATCAGAGTCCTGCAAATTGGTAAGAATAAAAAAATATAAGATGACAGATTGACAGGCACTGAATGTAGCAATGCTCGATACTCGATATTACAAACAACAGGAAAAAGAGTACAGGATGAGACATACTTGTACACAACTCATGCTGGATTAACAAATAAGACCCAAAATTTCGGGTTGCTGAAACGAAACAGGCCAAGTTATCAACCAGTAATCCTGTAAGCAGTCATACAAAAAGATAATGAATTTCACATAAAAATGGACAACAAAAAACAGCAAAAAAATCTACTTATAGCAGATTAAGTAAAGGAAAATAGTTAAATTTGATTCAAGAAATTGGGTATGTAAAACTTTCAACTTGCAGACATCCTAAAGTTAAATGAGCAGAGACAAATGTAGCAATTCACCTTGTTAGTATTAAATTGTGCAGGAAATTTTATAACTAATCATATAATTCAAGCATTTGAAGATTTAATAAAAATGCAGGAAATCTTATCACTAATCATATAATTCAAGCATGATAATTTAATAAAAATATGGCTAAATTAGAAAAAAAACACCTGTTAAAAGACCTAATTTTGTTTTGAACACCTTAAGATTTCGAAGTTTAATTATAACACCTGTTAAAAAATAAAAATTTTGCTTTCACCACCTAAATTGGAACAACGTTAGAGGATCTGTTAGCTGGGCCCACAATAACGGCTATTTTTTCCAAACTGCTTTATATAGTTACGACATCCTTCACTAATGTAGAATTGATGAGCTGATTACACAAAATTGCTTCACATTTTGCGAATTCTGACTAACAAATTGGCGAAATTGTTTGATTTTACCATCATTGTTTGGGGGACGTAGATATCAAATCAGGTAATTGCGTCAATAGCACTTTAGAAACCCTAATTTATCTTTCAAAAATAAGGCGTAAATTAATCTATATGTTGTTGACTTAAATGCATAATTCAGGTCGTATCTGGCAATAGTCATGTAATTCGTAAATAGTTAGGGTTCATTGTGTGTTAATTGTGCTGTAATTTGCGAGAAAATGAAATTAGGGTTCATTGTAGAAATAATTTGGGGGTTTTGATTTGTAGGAGTGATTGTTTAATTCCCTTGGTTTAATTGTATTTTTTTCATAGTACGAATGGTTTTGCTTATTATGGATGGCAAATTGGTGCAGGAAATGTCTTCTACAAGTTTCTCACCTTCAAAGGAGAAGAAGTGCAAATGTGGTGTTCCCTTTGCAAAGCTTACCAGTTGGACAAGGGAGAACCCTGGTCGTAAGTTCAGAACATGCAAGTTCTACGATCCTGTAACTGAGAGCAAAGGTTGTAAAGCATTTGAATGGGTGGATGAACAAGATGGGACAGCCTGGCAAACAGAGGTGATCAACAATTTGTTGTTAGATAAGAAACTGTTGAAGGGGGAAATTAGTGATTACAAGAGGGAAGTTGATGATCTTGGTGGACAGTTGAGGTGTTTGCTGAATGAAGTGGACAGGTTGAAAATGAAATGCAAGGCTTTAAACTCTGACAGGAACAAGATGAACAGAGAGATGCATGGAAGGAATGCTAGATCGGATCACTCTGTTCTTAGTCTTGCTGTTGGGATTAGTTTGGTCATATTAGTGATCCTTCTTATTAGGGGGTTTGTAATGCATTAAGTATAACTTGTAATGCTAGTAATTGCATGAAACAGTAATATGGTAATGTAATGATTTATAAGTGGCAGTGAACCACTATTGCAAGCAAAATAATGTACACAATTATGAAAGCAATGAATTAAGTAAGTACCTAAGTAGTTGATATTGCATTTAAGTTGTTGATCAAATTTGTTGTTGCAGTGCCTAACAAAATTGGCTGGTAAAGCCTTAAAGCAAAGTATTATTTTAACAAAACAGGATCCTTGTCCTAAACCCAAAAGTAAAGCTACAAATATTGCAACTGATTGTTCAGAAAATACAACCAACAACTAAAGTTCAGAAAAACAATTCAAACATCATTGTGTCAGCCCTCCTTTTCTGGAAGTCAGCAGCTTAGCCCTCCTTGTCTGCACTCCAGTAGCATTGGGTTCAGGTTGGCTGGAAGAGGGGGTGGTGTGATGCTTGGCTTGTGGCTGCCCTTGTTGACTGTGTGAACCTTTCCTCTTACTCAATGGTTCACAGCCAGGTTGCTCTTGGGGAAAAGTCCTATTCCCAATGCTGTTTGGACCAGCCCCTATTGCACTCTGTTTATTAAACACAAATACCAATAAACAAGTATCAACATCCAATTTCATCACAAATTTTAAAAGAAAAGTTACAAATCCAACAGCATACCTTCTTAGCAGCTTTGATCTCCCTCTTCTTCCTTTGCTCAACTACCCAAGGTGAATTTAAAGGAGGTCTTCCTGCAGTTCTCTGCTCAGTTGGTTCAGGTTCATGTGGGCCCTTGCAAGTCTTGGGATAGTGGCCAAATCCACCACAAATCCTACACTGACTTTTCCTCCTCTTTCTTCCCTGCTCCCCTCCTGTTGCAGATGTTCCCTCCCCAGGTTCCAGCTTCCTCTTCTTCTGTTTAGGTCTTCCAGGCTGCTGTTTGAATGCTGGTGGATGAGGCTCTCTCATGTTCACTCTCTCCCAATGCTTTGGGCCTGGCATAGGTTGAATTGTAGGCTCATATGCTGCTCTGTAAGT